ACTGCATGAAAATATTAAGTTTTCATCCAATTTACCTATGACTGTCATGCTCTGTCATCTCTGCACTGCTGAATTACTTTTGCTCCTGTGCAGTTTTTTCATTACAGTTATCAAAAATATGCAGAATTTGTGAATAATGCTAATCAACCACGATTCTGATGGAAATCAGATGCATGATAGATGCCATTTTGGCAGGTCTAGTGTGGTCCAGTTGCATAAAAACGATGAAAAAYAAATTTTTTCATGTTTCACAAATCAGCCAAAGGTTTCCCAAAGGTCAAACTTAGTTTTTATTATTCTTCTATTAGTGTAGAATAATCTAGTCTTGGTTTGAAGAGTCCAGGTGTTGTGGTTTTTGAGCTGGACCAGGTCTAGTGTGGTCCAGTTGCCAAAAAATCGATGAAAAACAAACTTTATTGATTTTTCGCAAATCAGAAAAAGATTTTCCAAAGCTCAAATTTAGTGTTTATTATTCTTCTATTAGTGTAGAATAATATAGTCCTGGTTCGAAGAGTCCAGGTGTTGTGGTTTTTGAGCTGGACCAGGTCTAGTGTGGTCCAGTTGCCTAAAAAAACGATGAAAAACAAATTTTATTGATTTTTCACAAATCAGACAAAGGTTTCCCAATGCTCAAACTTAGTGTTTGTATTCTTCTATTAGTGTAGAATAATATAGTCCTGGTTTGAAGAGTCCCGGTGTTGTGGTTTTTGGGCTGGACCATGTCTAGTGTGGTCCAGTTGCCTAAAAAATGATGAAAAACAAAATTAGTTGATGTTTCACAAATCAAAAAAAGGTTTCCCAATGCTCAAACTTAGTGTTTGTTATTCTTCTATTAGTGTAGAATAATATAGTCCTGGTTTGAAGAGTCCAGGTGTTGTGGTTTTTGAGCTGGACCAGGTCTACTGTGGTCCAGTTGCATAAAAACGATGAAAAACAAACTTTGTTGRAATTTCACAAATCAGACAAAGCTTTCCCAAATCCCAAACTTGTTTTTAAATATTCTTCTATTAGTGTAGAATAATCTAGTCCAGATTTGAAGAGTGTAGGTGTTGTAGTTTTTGAGCTAGAGCAGGTTAAACACGCACAAGGKAGTGAAAAATTAGTTGTAATATCTCTAGTCATTTCCTGAATCGGAAGCTGGAATTGGAAGCTAACATCATTTTTGTCACCTGGTTTACATTACAGCAGACCTACTAACTGGACTGTAGCTACACCTGATTAACATTACAGTAGACCTACTAGTCCACTGTGGGACTTTTAATATATATTTCAAGCTACTAATAAGCATAATGGATGATCACATTTCTTTAGCTGGGCTATTACAATTTCATGTAAGCTGATTTTTTTTCCTAAAGGTTAGGCCACATTATGTTTGTTAGACTGTGGCTAGAAAGGACAAAGTTATTTAACCTACTGTGTGCCCACTTCATGCATTTGTATATTAAATTTGGCTGTTTCTTTACCTGTGAATAGAAAGGCGATTTGTTCTGTAACTGCTGCTCCACTTGGGTGTTTCTCATGTGTGATGGGTCAAATGCAGACCACAGATTTCATCACTGCATGGGAACAGTCATTGATGACAAATAAAATACATTTATATGATAGGCTCACTTCATGAATGATGAACTGAAACAGCAAAACTCCATAATGTAACATTCAGGTAAAAAATAAACATACTGCAGTTTTTAATCTGATTTTCAGGTACAGCTCAGGTTAAAGACAAGTTTTCACTGTTTTACCTTGATAATAAGCTGGTTTTAGATTGTTTATTAATCCAATCAATTTAGTAAAATGCTCTTCAAATGACTGGAAAATGCATCATTTTGAGTAGATTTTTTAAAAACTCTTCCGGGGGAGCAGAATAATCTAGTCCAGATTTGAAGAGTCCAGGTGTTGTAGTTTTTGAGCTAGAGCAGATTAAACACGCTCAAGGWAGTGAAAAAATASTTGTAATATCCCTTTAGTCATTTCCTTTATCGGAAGCTAACTTCAGCTTCGTAAGGCTAACCTCACAAGCCTGACCCTAAAACTAACCTAAACTCAATTCACACCTTGGTCCTAAACCCAACCCCCAACCACCAATGGCATTTAAACCAAACGAGGACTCGACTTAGGTCCCCAAATGCCCCAGTTGTCCCCAAATGTAGGTGTTTTGTCTTAAAATTGCCCCCAAATGTCCCCAAACCCCCCCCCCCCACACACACACACACACACATGGCTCCATAACTCGTACATGTTGCTGACATTCAAATAAATCAAAACACACAGTCAACCCTTCACCCAAATGGAAATATTGATCTCCATTTCAACTACTGATTTCAGCTGATAAAGTGCCTCTGGGCTAATGTGAATGGCTCTGGTATTATATTTAATCTTCAACAGGAAACATGCAGAACACAACTTCAAAAGGCTGCTTTCTGTTCCTGAAATGGGAGATGGAAGGGGAAAAATGTTCCAGTCAAATAGGTACGACAAGGAAAGTCATAAAGAAGCTTTTTCAATCGTGCTTGATGTAAAATCTTTCATGTTTGTCTTCATGTTTTAGAGGCTGAGATGGAAAAGCATGGAGAATGGTAAGTCAAAGGCAGGATTTCTGTCCTCAACTACTTACTGTCTGTTTTTTTACTTTTCCGTTTTTACATTTTATGCTTAGATAAACTGACTGTATTTGCAGCTGTTTGAGTCTATTTTATCTGTTTGTACGCATGTCTTTTTCTTGCTGTGAAATRGCCCTTATGGCAGGGGATCTCAACCTTTTTGAACTTGGGGCCCAACGAATTGAATCTTAAGTGGCATGAGACCCATTCAGATAATGTACTGATTGATCGAATTGATCATCTTGGTTTATTTGTGTTGTATTTGCATCATAATTAAATGAAATGTACAGTTTAACAAGCAAAGACCTTATCAAATAAACCCCAAGACATGATGAAGACAAACGTTTAAAATACCTGCAAACATCAGAATCAGAATCAGCTTTATTGGCCAAGTATGTTGACACACACAAGGAATTTGTGTCCGGCAGATGATGTCTCTCCAATGCACATACATACAATATACACAGTGATGGAAGCACAATAGCATAAGACATAAACATTATAGTCTGTGGATTATATACAATAATTAGGCACTAGTTAAGAAGTCTAGTGTTTGGGATCATTCATCAGGGAGATGGCCTGGGGGAAGAAGCTGTTTTTGTGTCTGGATGTTTTTGAGCATAGGGCTCTATGGCGCCTGCCGGAGAAAAGAAGTTGAAAGAGGCTATGTCCTGGGTGTGTGGAGACTGTCTTGATTTTCTCTGCCCGTTTCCTAGTTCTTGTGGCGTACAGGTCCTGAAGCACGGGCAGGGGAGCACCAACGACTCTCTCAGCTGACCTGATTGTTCGTTGCAATCTGTTCTTGTCCTGTTGGGTGGCTGCTCCGAACCAGACTGTGATCGATGTGCACAGGACATATTCTATGACCGCTCTGTAGAACTGTGGCAGTCCTTAGTTTCCGCATGAAGTAAATCCTCTGTTGGACCTTCTTGAGGATGGAGTTGATGTTGGTCTCCCACTTCAGGTCTTGGGATGTGATCGTTCCCAGAAACTTAAAGTTTTCTGCAATGTACACTGCCAGATATTGTTAGAGGGAGTCGTTCTGGGGGGTGTTTCCTGAAGTCTACTGTCATCTCTACTGTTTTGAGTGTATTTAGCTCCAAGTTGTGTTCCTTACACCAGAGCACCAGCTGTTAAAAGCGGAGCTGAAATCTATGAACAGTATCCTTGCATAAGTTCCCGGATGATCAAGATGTTGCAGGATGTAGTGCAGTCCCATGTTGACTACATCATCCACTGACCTGTTTGACCTGTAGGCAAACTGCAGGGGATCCAATTTGGCAGTGGGAGACATCTAAACATTTGAGCATGTGCCAGTGGCAAAAAGTGATCCTAGGAGGGCCCAGATGCATACCCCACAGAAATTTTCTTCTCAAAACTATGAGTAATGGAAAATTTTCCATCAGGGCAGAAACACATGAATAAAACAAAGTGAACTTGCGTGGTTTGGTCGYCAAATGGTTTAATAAGGTGTATATGCAAGAAAGATTTGAGCAGCGACACAGAGGTCCGAATCAGAGGTACCCCCATGGAGCTACTGGCTAACAACAGACAGGAAATGCATTTATAACTTCCGGGCATGGCCCATTAGAGCAAATAAGAGCCTGACTCAATGTTGGAAGATATCAGAAGGACCAACAGAAAAATTACAAGTTTACACAGGCAACATGAAATGAGAACAAGGTTGCAGGCATCAGATAGCATCTTTAAGAATCGTGAGAACAGATTATACAAATGTGGCAGTAATCAAACAGATACAGAACAGAACATGTCAAGGTAACTTAGCAGTTAGGGAGGTTATATAATATTTCCACCACATTATGCATTTTCCTAATTTCTGTTAGCTTGTATCTGTATTAGGCTTGTCACTTCATCTTTGATGTTAAACCAGTGGCAGCTGGTCAATAGGGGGCGATAGGGCGCTACCCCACCACTATCTTTGGTACACAATAAAATTTAAAAAATAAAATAAAATGTTATAAATATTTCAAAAAATATTGTATATATGTTTTCTAAGAAATTATTTAGAGTTATTGATGTTTAAATTTCCATTTTACTCATGAGCTTTTTCGTATTGAGTCACTTCTGGGTCACGAGCTGTTTGCCGCTCCAGATTCCCATAGATAAGTCATTGTAAGATTTTGGACATGCGCAGTAAGTCCCCAATGCAAAAGAATAGGGTGGCCTGGGGCGCAACATGTGGCCGCCCCGCAGCTGACCTCACACAATTGGTACTGCATTACAGTACATAACCAACGTTTTTCGAGCATCGGGATCTGATCCTTCATGGATTAAAACAGATGAGAAAAAAGCTAAAATACTTTTGTAATGCTTGGTAATCATAGTATACGTATATAAAAAATTCCCTTCTCACCCT